CTACTTGTCACCAACACTGTGAAGACTGGCTCTGCTAAAATTCCTTTCCTTGCTATCTGGAACTCCAGTTATGTAAAAGGAGGTCATGCTCTGCTGTAGAGACAGGTTCTGTTTAATCACCTCGTCACACCTATTTACTTCCCCAAGAGCACGTAACATGGGAGAGGGAGTTACACAACTCCCAGCCAACTGTAGCCAGCCAGTTCTGTATTGCAGTGTTGCACATTTACTCACAAACACATAAGGTGTCTGGACAAAGATCACAGATGAAAGATATTACTTCATCTGTGGTCAAATTAAAAAACAACACATACTTGAAAATATTTTGTTAAGTAACTGAAGGAACTACTCAGTGAGAACGTAAAAGTTCTGGAGTAGCTCCCAAGGTAGAGACAGAAAAACTAAATAATTTGTTTAATATCAGAAGTCGAGTCTGCAATACCTACACTGATTAAAATTGCAAAACAGCACAATGAGAACTTGGCACTCTCTGGTGTTTCAGCTCTCCCAGCAAATGTGGTGCTCTATGTATATTTTACTAAGGATCAAGAGCTCAAAAATAACTGAGCAGAATTAACTGTTATTTCCCTTTGACAGAAATAAAACAAGCAACTGAGACCTCAAAACCAAATACATACAGCTTACATATACAACTCAGTCTTAAATTCCTGTGTCATACAATGAAAAGACTTTCCAGGTCTAAATGCAAATAATTGCAGGCAGATCAGAAAAGGTTTGATTAAAATAATTCAGGCCAGAGAATCACGACTTGCTGAATTAGAAGTTGTTAATTTTCCTAAGCTGATTTCAGCTACGCGTCCTGAAACTAGTCGTAAGGAAATACTGACCATGAGCTTTAGCTCACAGAGAAGACACAGGCAGTGCACAGGGGGACAGACAGGGACAGAGCTTCTGCTTGGGTAATGAGCTGCAACAGTTTATACCAGTGGAAGAGCTGTTTCCTCCACTGAACCAAATTATTAGGGTTGTGTCCTTTGCAGCATTTTTTAGTAGGTTATAGTTTCTTCTGCCAAACCAGGAAGCTATGCTATGAGTAGCTGGTACTCCCAGGATAACAATTCCACCACAATTTTATCCTCTACTACTCGAGCCTCTGATGTCTACATTTGCAATACAGAACCACAGAGGGCAAGTATCACAAGTTCCTTCCCTGTGCCTCCAGAGCCTTACCCACTAGCTTCACAAAATGACCTTTGTTACAATGGGATTTACACTGGTGTCCTTGGAAGCAGCAGATGGTCAGGATGAGCTGCTGCCATCAGCATTTTTCCTTTAGTCTGTGAAATTATTCACATCGTCCCCTCAACAGTGGAGGCATTTTCTCAGCTTAAGAGCCAAATCACACTAGTTAAAAGATGGGACAAAGAACAAGTCAAGCACTAGTGTCTTTAAAAGACACTAAAATGGGTTGGATTTTGTGGTTATATAAGAGCAAGGAGCTACTATTCTCTATCTGATATATGAATTAAATGTTGTACCTTATCAACAGGAAATATGAACACATTTCCTTCAATCATTTCCTCTTGTAAAGCATTCCCTGCAGATCCCAAAGGAAACAACAGATGCACCCAAAACAAGTTTTTGTTTCTTTGCTGGCATGTGTAAAGAAAATGCAAAACTTGGTTCAGTTTATTTTTATTTTAATACCTCACTATTCAGACAAAATTTCTTGCTCGGAGAATTTGAAGTACTTTATGAACAGGCTATCATTATCTCTACCTGTGAAATGGGGCAATGAGAAGAAAAGCAAGGGCAGCTTCAGAGTTGTACCCAGTCTCCTAAGTCACCACATTATGCCACACTACCAAGCCACCCCCACAATACCAGCCCAGCAAGTGTATTAACCCACAGTGGAGGCTTCTGTCCTTTGAGTGGTACCTCATACAGTAGGTAGAGGAGGGGGAAATCTATTGTTAGAGATGTAAATGCATTTAACTGAGAAATCTTTCACACCTCTGATAAATTTTCCAACTGATTTACTGCCAGTGTGTTTCTTGTATGTGTAAAACATTTACAGTCTGGGTCCTACAATGGGGCTCTCTTCCCTCCCACAACCCGGGCAGGCTGAAGCGCTGGCGCTCTCGGCTCAAACTGTTGGCTGATGTTACCTTATGTTTTTTTAATTGCAACGTGTTCTTGCCCAGAATGACACGCTTGTGTCAACACAAAACAGTCTCAGTGCAAGGTTCACAATGGAATTTGAAACACTCTGTAGTGCAGAAGCATTGGAATTCATGAGCTTGGTTGCAAATCCTTCCAGGGAGATGCTTTCTGAGGAGCCTGCGCCTGGTTTTCTAATCCCACTGAAGTTTGAGGGCATTCAGATCAAGCTTTACATTAAGCCTCTTCCCTAACAAGCAGGGCCAAGACAAATGAAGTTACATTTGCCAGCATATCCCTAGAGAGCACAGCACATCTCTGCTGGAAAATCCTCATGCTATTTTTTCCAAAGTTGGTGGGGTAGTGTCAGTTCTAACCTAGAAGGGAAACTGAAAACAAATCTTTGAAGCTTACAATCATGTAAAATACAAACAGCTCAGTAGGGAAGCCAGTCAAGACAATTTCTCCTCAAATAACAAGGCAGCTCAGATAGAAAAAGCTGATTGGAATTAAAGGTACAGGCTGAAAAAAAGAAAAATAAAATGTATAGAGTGCATAGAAAATAGACTGAAGATTTTGGGATTGCTGGAATTTTGGAACAATACAGGAGGAAAATCAACCTAATCAATGTTACAAAGACTTTTTGGTTATCCTTTTAAAACAATTCTAAAGAAAGTAGGTTTGCTTCCACAGAATTCTGATGTTTCCTCTTCATTAAATTGGGTAGGGGACATTTCCCACAAGCATAGTAAAAAAAAAAATAAATTCATTAATCCTGAAGTGATGTTCTTTTCTCAGCCATGGGAGATTCAGTCCAGCAAGTATAACTTCAGTGAAATTAAAAAAAAAAAAGAAAGAAATTGAGGAACTATGTGGGCCACTGGCAGCGGGCGGCTCTGGCGCGGCGCTGGGCAGGGCCGGCGATTTACTGCTGCCCTCTGCAGTCACCGCTCAGCATTGCCAGCTGCAGCCAGGCCTGGAACCCAGCAAGGGGCTCTCCAAAACACCTCTGCTTCTCCAGTTGCTTTGCCAGCTTACCGGTGTGTTGTTACTTCAGCTATATTCTGTGCTCAGTTTATGAATATTGCATCTATAAATGCAAATCAACAACTGGACACTAGTTGGTGAGTCAGTTCTAGCCATGCTCACAGTTTCATTGATTCATTTCTCAGAGAAAGAAGCCACTATGTACCCAAAACTGATGAGCTGGTCCTAGTCAGGTCTTGGGTCTGTTCCAGAGAGCCAAGTGCGGGTTGTAAGGGAGGCAGGACTTGGCAGAGCCACACGCTGGCCGATAGCAGCAGCCCATGAAAGAAAACCCCACACCCAACCCCTGAGAAGCACAGTGAGGGCTCTCCTGCCATGCAGGGAAAGAAGAGGCAGCTGGACTGTGCTTTCTGCTGTGCGTGTGTTGTGGAGGCATGACCAAGCCAGTTTTGAAGGAAATACTAATCCCTAGATCACTCCACCATACCAGAAAAAAAGAGCAGGCCCTCTTTCTAGCAACCTCACCACCAGGCTCCCACTCTACTTGCATTTGCTTGGTACTAAGACATAACGTGGAACTGCAAGGTACCAGAAGAAAAGGCATTTCCAAGCTCTTGTCCTCCTCTGCTCTCAAGGCAAAGACTAAGCAGATATCACTGTCTCAAACACTTCCTGCTTCCAAGCTAATGCTTAAAATATTTCAGTCTCATACACTGGATAATTAAAAAAAAAAAAAAAAGTAGCTTACCAATGTTAAAAGTTACCAACTCACACCTGAGAACAGACAAACATGGGTGCTGTGCTCCAGGAACAGTCAGCATCAAAACATAAAGCCATCAGAAAGTTCTTGAGAGGTAAGTCATGAATGAAACATGAGCATTAGCTGAAGATAACTGTTACTCAAGTGACCATCCATTCAACCCACTTACATATTTGATTTGAGAATGCTTCCTTCAACTCCAAAGCAAATGCAAGAAGGATATGGTTCTAGATCCAGCTCTTCTCTCAGAGACTTTATGGAGCTTGTTTGTGTTCCATCTCATTTGCCACAACATAAACAACAACAAAAACATCCCAGCAGTATCAGGAACCTTAACCCACTGCTGTTTGCAGGAGGTTATATGCTGCAAGACACTATGCAAGCATAGACATTTTTCTTGTCATTACATGTCTGAAGAGATTTTAAAGACAACAGTGAGACCAGAGGACAATATGCCCATATACAAGAAGGCCTGATGTGAAGGAATCTGTCAGGAGGTAGTCTTAAGCCCCCAGCACTCCTCTTGGATGCAAAGGTCCTACTACATGTCCACGTGTGGATTTGTGAAAGATGTACTGTGTATTTGTAATTTCTTTATACTGAAATACATAAAAATAAAACCAAAAACTCATGCTGTATTTGTTTAAGCTAACTTTGTTAAACACCAGCATTAGATACAGAACCACAAACTGTAACAGAAATACAACAGAGAAGCTGGAAGGAGGAAGAGTTTTCAAAGCTATCCAAAACAATTTGATAGCAACAAGTAAAAAGGAAATAAAACTAGAAGTTACATAGACACACAAGGTCAGCATGTCAAAACTGGCAAACAAACAAGTTTTGAAATTAAACACTTCCTCTCAAACAAATAATCAGTAACAATATAAATCACAAACAAAAAGTTCAGAAATGCCCAGACTCCTTACAGCTAGCACCTGCTCACACGTTTCCAGGGACATGGTGCTCAGTTTGCAGTCAGCTCAGAAGCAGCCTAAGCAGAACTTTGGAGATGGTGCAGCACCTCTGGCCTTGTGCACAACTCTGCCAGCAAGCCAAAGGACTTGACATGACTCAGTCGGTGAAGAACATAATCCAACTCAGAAGTCAAACTCAGTACTGACCAGGGTCAACCTCATTCATCAGCATCGTCAAACTGGCCAGCCTCGGTCACTCTGACTGGAGGGGCAAAAGCAACGCAAGCTGCATGGTGACAGCCTGGGTTGTAAAACCAGTCCTCTTGCCACGAGTATGAGGCTAGAAGATTATTTTCCTGAAAGCTTCCACAGTAGAGATCATCAGCATCTAAAGGAGATTAAAGAAAATATTTAAACCATGGGAGACACTTAGAAAACCAGTGGTATCATGCAACAGATTATACTGCACACCTACAGCATCTTCCAGTTAGCTATTTCAATTTGATCTGCCAGCAACCATTAACCAGAGCTACAAACAAAGCAAACAGCTGAACTTGGCACCACCTTCATTTTCAGGAAGGTTCTTGACACAGAGACACAACAGTTTTCCAGAAAACTCAACAATACACCTGCATTCTGAACATCTGACAGCAGCTCCTACAATGCAGGCAGTTCTTCTGTGTTTAATTCAGGCATAAAAGACTCATGAAACCATTACTTTTATTTCCTCTCCCCTTTCCTGCTGCCTCCATAACCACATCCCAACTACAAGCCCACCCAGGCCCTTTAAGAACTGGGTCATAGGACAGAATGGAAGGGTGGGATCCTGTAAAAGCTGGCTCTAAGCAACATTTCCACTAGGCTAGAATTAAGCCTAATAAGCCTGTGATTTAACCAGCCTCACACACAAACAGGGCAAAGTCCTTTAACAGAAACATAAGATTTCTAGCCAGCTGAGTCTGAAAGGACTCAGCAAACGAAGAGCCCCAAGTATGGGGCAGCAGAGGACCCACCAGAGTACATCCACCTGTCAGCCTTCCAGCAGCATGGCCAAACAAGCCATCAAAACAAACATTTTTTTAAAAGCCACAAAATGACCAGCCAAGTACATTTTTTTATCTGTAGTCATTAACAAATCAGATACTTGTAGTCAGTGTCCTCCAGAAGCACCTGAATCCCATAATCACAGCTTCTTGAGTCTGTAAGGATTTGAGGAGCATAACCTACAGGTAGGGATGAGTTAGTTAAATAAAAGACAAGAACTTGTGACAGTTCTAGTTAAAAAGCAAATGAAAAAAAGTCAGAACATTCTATAAATTTAAGCAGATGAGAAATTAAAAGGGCAGCCTGGGATAGAAGAGAAGGAAACACTGAAAAAGGAAAGTCTTTTTCTCAGATTATCCCATGTGAAAAACTACTACTGTATTTCCATCTTAACATCAGAATCATTTACTAGGAAGGCTGCAAAAACTTTCCCAGTTCCCTCTGTTATCCAACAATGGAACTAGAATACAACAGACTTTTATGGAATTAAAATAAACAGAGAATTGATATTTCCTAAGCAAAGAAAGGAGTGTTTGTATTAATTACAAAAGAGACACATTAATGAGAATTAAACAGAAATGGTACTATTCTGCCTCAACAAAGACACAGCAGGTTACCAGCCACCGCTGGCTCAACTCCATCCACTTGTCCTGTCCTCACACAGAGACTGGCAATGAGAAGATTGAGAGACTCAGTTCAACACACAAGTCACAGTGAAACAGTTTACAAATTGGAGGATTAATAAAACTCTAAAGATGTGGATGAAACTACTTTGATCCATTGCCACCTTTGTCCTTCAGACTGATGATGTGCACTATCACTTAGGAGGTTGAAGGTTCAAAAAACACCAAACAAAAACCAACTACACACAAAAAAAAAACCTACCACAGAGAAAGCCCTACAGGAAAAGCAACAAACCATGCTCAGAGCCTGAGTGCTTGTACTGCTTCCCTCAAAGAACTCCACACTCAAGAGCGACATTATGGGGTACAGTCTGGATGAATTTTCTTGGAGAAAAGGAAGAACTCCTCTGAAACAAAAAAGTTACATTTCTCCACACCATGTACCTTTCCTGCTTCAGACTAGCAGACAGACCACTGAGACCTAACTTCTCTGGAGCAACTTAATACACAGAGTTCTCCTTAGCATTCCACTCCCTAAGAATTCAATTGCTTACGCAAGAGTTTCGTGGGAATTTCATAACACTGCCTTTAAATCCTGTAATTTGACAACAAAATCATGCATTACAAATCCCCAAGGTCAACAACAAAAAATTGCTTCCCAAAAGCACACAGAGTTACTCGAACACATTCTGCAAAGCACCTTCCTCCAATGACACACTAACCAAACCTCAAACAAAGCACAGGTAAGTTTGTACTCACCGTAAGGACTACATCCAGATTCCTCCAGTTCTTTATCCCAGTCCTCTGGCTCATGCACAGGAGCAGGCTGCAGCTCTGGAAAAGCCACAGTCTCAGGCACACTGGAGGCTTCACTGTCAAAGTCTTCCCCATCAGCACATGTATGAACACAGTCAACAGAGGAGCCAAGGTCATTGCTTTCATTGTGAGAGCTATCAGAGAATTCTCCTTCTTCAGACTCGCTATCAAGTGCTTTTGGAATATTCTTCAGCAAATACTCTACAAACAACAGAAAGAGCCAACAGAGATATATAGTTTAGGAAATAAAGAAGAACAATTAAATGCTTAGCATGCAATAATTCAGCCAGGTATATGAATGCACGTTGTGACTACTACTCTAAGTATAATAAATGTAATTCCTTACATATGTAGTATCACTACAGTGTTGTTTCAGGGTTCAGATGCTTGGGAACCTTGGACATAGGCTTGCATCATCACAACACTAGCCCAAGTCAGGATTTTCCACAGACTCTTGTTGAAAAATAACTCTTTAAACTAGGGCACAGGACCCAGCAGTCTTGTTTCACCACATACACCTGTTGATATTTATGAAAAATAGGTACGTTGAAAAACCACAGCTCTAGATTACAAAAAAAAAAAAAAAATTATTATTTTTTTTTTGTAGCATTTATTCCTCTTGCACCTAAGCATACACAAGTAGCTACATGGAAATAATTCAGGGCAGTAATCAAAGAGGCATTTCCCCATACATCACCAGAGAGTTTTATTTCTTCATTTAGAGTCTAAGCTTAATTATTCACCATCTGCTTTGTTTTGCCCTACTATTTTAAGCTTACCTTTTCTGGGCTTCCAGGTCATAGTTTCTCTCTTATTAGGAAGCTGTTTCTCTTCACAGTTTGTGGACTCAGTAGCAGAAGCCATCACCTACAAGACAGTTTTAAAGAACCCAGTCGCACCTTTCAGTGACTCTCACTATGATGCCCATGTAACGTCTCCTGCATTTGAGTGTTTCTGAGCCCTTGAGCCTGACCTGTTTGTTGCTCCCTTGGTGAACTGGGGGGTGTAAACCAGACAGGCTTTCACGTCAGAAAGTTTTGGGAAGCACACCCAGAGCTGACCCAAAACACGCACATTTGGCAACAGCAGCAGGCTGAAAGCTGCAGCGGCAATGGAGACACAGGGAGCGGAACGACCAGCACCAAAGACTTCGATGCAGCCACCCTGTGG